AAGATATAACTTTAAATTGTATTTTTAATTAATTATTTAATCAATTTAAATTCTTCCGCAAGTGGCGTGAAAAGAGGGAGAATCTTGATAGGTTATGATTGAAATTTTGTTTATACTCAAATAAAGATTTAAAAAGAAAAAAAAAAGAAAAAGGGGGAGATAAAGGAAGTCACGTGGGTGGTTAAGCAAAGTTAGATGTATTGCCACGTGTTGGTTTTTGAGTGGTTTAGTTGTTGACAAGATGTGGTCAAATTTCGATTTCCAATATTTTTTCCATAACTCTCTTTTTTTTTTCATTTTCACACGTCTCTTCATACCAACTCTTGTATATTTGCATATGAATATAATTACACACCATAGAAGATACATAAAAATATATATATAAGCAGAGAGGCAGAAAGAAGAAAAGGGGGGGGGGGGGTTTGTTGGAAATGGAATTTTATTTTGTCTTCCAAAAATCAAAGCAAGTTAATAAGGTAGGATATGAGGTGTAGTGTTTTTATGTCCCATTTAAATATTTTTTTCATGTTGATGAATTTTATACTCATGAAAGTTAAAGTTATGATATGATATGTTATGATGTGAATGATATGGTCATTCCAGTACAACAATATGATATGATATGAGCTCTTACCGAATTTTAAAGATATGAGGCAGTATGATTTTTCTGATGCAGATTTTAAAATTTTTATACGGGATCGTACCATAAATTTTTATATCCTAGTGAGTATTTTCATGTACTCACCATTTTCCCTACTCCTCACAGATTAGAACGGGTCGTTGGTTGGCGGGTGATTCGGTGGAGTTGTGATGCCAGAAATTATGGAATTCAAGATAAATAAATTATGAATAACTTGATTAGGAAGTTTTATTTATTTATTTTTCTTTGCGTTATTTCAGTTTTATCTTCATGTTAAATTTGAAATTTAAAATTTAGAACATGGTTCAGTTAATTATGTTTTCCATAGACTTTATTTATTTTATAGATGGAACTAGAAAGATTTTCATGTAGAAAGTTTGACATAATTTATTTAATTATGAAATAAATGTTTAATAACAATTTTAAATCTTTAAATTTTAGGTAGTTACATACCTCAATCAGAATTTTATTGGCGTTGATTGTCCACTTTGATTGGGAACTGGAGCAACTTGATGTTAAAACGGTTTTTCTAAATGGTGATCTTGATGAAGTTATATACATGAATCAACCTAAGGGCTATGAAGTAAAGTCCAAAACTGAAAAGGTTTGTTTGCTAAAAAAGTCCCTATATGGGCTGAAACATGCTCCCAGACAGTGATATCTGAAGTTTAATTCATATGTTCAGATCATGGGTTTTGAGAAAAGCAGCTATGACTCATATTTGTTTTTCGAAGGGTCAAGAGGACCTAAATCTATATATTTGTTATTGTATGTAGATGATATGTTACTTGCCTGTCATGATAAATTTGAAATTGAATCTGTTAAATCAAAGCTAAAGTCTGAATTTGAAATGAATGATTTACGTCCAGCCAAAAGGATTCTTGGTATCGAAATAGAAAGGGACAGATCTAGCTGTACTCTAATTCTAAAACAGTCTGCATATATACAAAAAATACTTGAAAAATTTTCTATGTGTGAGTGCAAATCTGTTTCCTTAACCTATTGCAAATCATTTTAAACTTTCTAGTGATCAATATCCTAAGTCTAATGATGAATTGAAAAGAATGGAAAAGGTTCCCTATGCTAATGTTGTAGGATCCATTATGTACCTTATGGTTTGTACCAGACCTGATTTAGCTCATGGTATTAGCATCCTAAGTAGGTTTATGGATAATCCTGGGGAAACTCACTGGTTAGCTATAAAGTGGATGGTGAGATACTTGAGAGGCTCAATTGACTTAGAACTAAAGTTTAAAAGAAGTAATGAAGGCATAATTTTAGAGGGGTACACTGATTTAGATTTTGCTGGTGATCTTGATAAAAGAAGATCTACATCCTCTTACATCTTTACTTTGTGTAATACTTGCATTAGTTGGAAATCTCAGTTGCAAAAATTAGTTGCATTGTCCTCAACAGAGGCTGAGTATATTGATGCATGTAATGCTGTGAAAGAGAGCATATGGTTAAGAGGATTGTTAAATGAAATTAGTTTTGTAAATGAATCTGTTAGTATTCATACTGATAATCAAAGTGCAATTCATTTGAATAAAAATCCTGTTTATCATGATAGGACAAAGCATGTTGATATAAAATTTCACTTTGCTAGGAATATGGTTGAAAAGGGCTTAATTAGTCTAGTTAAAATTCCTACAGAATATAATCCCTCTGACCTTGGAACAAAAATTTTACCACTTAATAAATTTAAAAACTGTTTGAAAATTCTGAATATAACCTAAATTGTAATTAGGTGACATTCAGTAACTCATTTGTTGAGAATGATACTAACTCTAAATATTTTTTTTTCAGGTACAGTAGAGCTAAATGAAGTCAAGAAATGTTTGAATCCACTAATTGAAACAAAGAAATAGTTTAGAAAGGTAGAGAATGTTAAAAGGATGGGCTGCCTCACTATTTCTTTTTAATTGGGCCCTACTAATTGAAAATAGGAGGAGGCCCAAATCTCTTAATATATTCTCGCGTTTTTTGATTTCACTCTTTTGTGCCTCTTGTGGTTGAGTGTGTGCTGTACACGTGGCACACGCCCAACCGTTAGATAACGTTGGTCCAACTGATTTTGATATTTACTTAGCACTTGGTTGTCTGGCGTTTCAGTTGCACTCTTTCTAGAACTTTCTGTCTTTCTCTCTGTGTGAGAGTCCGTTCGTGTTCTTCCTTCCTATGAAATGTAATACTAAATCTGTGTGATTTTTGAAAGTCCTTTGAGTAAGGATTGAAAAGTTCGAGTGATATTTGTGATATTGTTAAAAGGAAATCTGTGTGAAAAAAAAGGCTAGAGAAAGTCGAATAAATCTCTGACTTCTTCGAACATTTTGTACTGTTCTTTGTGAAAATTAGTGGAAACTCGAGCATATCTCTTGATTGAGGCTCAACGGGTGATTAAGTCCTTGGACTGAACATCCGGGCTCCATTTTGAAGTAAAACATATCTGGTGTTCAAATTTCGTTTATTCTATCTTTTATTCTGAAATCATTTTCTGGTTCGTGAATAAACCTTTAAAATACAAGATTATATCAACTCTGGGACCAACAAACCCTTACACTTTTCTAATTCTATCACTCTTAGTTACAGCGATCAAATGTTGGTGGCAGCTCCTCCTTGTTTCTTCCAGTATGGCAGTGCGATTTACAGTTCATTGTCTTTCTGGTGATTTCCTTTGGAGGCTCAAAAGGTGACATGAATCATATATAGCTTTGGTTTCGTTAGCCTGTTCGTTTCCGTCCAAAATCATCTTGGCACATTATTTGCACACAGCATGTTCTCTGAGGTGTCAAATTTTTCTTTCTACCACATCATCTTGTTGTGGCGTGTTTGGACATATAATATATATTATGTTCTTGTAGATATTGGGAGAATTCTCGAGATGTTTGTATCTCTCCCATTATCCATATATAAACACCGAATTTTATTTTTGATTTCTCCGTCTACTTTTTCCTTGAACTTAAATTTAATAAAAACATCAAGTAGTACAATCTACCCATAACTGGAGTGGTATTAGAATAAAAAAGCAAGACTGTCGGCTCTGTTGATGATGACACCCTTTCATAAAACAATTGACTCAGCTTCCAATCGTAAAATCGGGCAGTAGATCACATTGCCGATGTGTGAATTTTCACATACACATTGTTGGATCAAACCTACAAATAACCCAGGCAAAGTTGGAGATTGCAGTAAGAATTTTTCCAGATGAAGAAACTCGGCTCCCAGGCACGTTACTAAGTCACTTTCCTTAAGGCGTCATTTGCCATACACTTGAGGTTTTTATATTATCTTTTCAGAATAGTAAAATACAAACAAACTTTTGTAAAAAATGGGGATGAAATATATGCGAACAATCTATCAGGAAGAAGAAATAAGGGAGAATCTCAATATCACATCTTTCATCATGTTTTTAATCAAAGGAAACTTAAATCTATATATAGATTCTTGTCAAACCTTTGCTAATAAGTTGCAACCATTAGTAAGTGTCTCGTAGACTTCACAAAACTTGTACATTAATGAAGGTGTTTTGTGAACTTGAACCTCCACCTAGTAAAAATGCTTCAAATGTTAACCAAGGTAATGTAGCAGAAAAAGTACTTCTGAACCAGTGACGTTATCATAGTCAAGTAATAGAATGTGAGTAAATTATCGTTTCAAGATTTTTTGGTAATTTACAATTTCACTTAACAGCTTCTCCTTGTAAGAGTAATAACACCCCGCATATCTTCTAGAAGAAGACTAACTCTCCCATGTCTTATCTCAAATTTCGCCACACATTATCTTAGTTTCCAGTTTAAGTTCGTACATTGCAAACATTGTGGTAAACACCCTTCCAGTTTGAGGGGAGATGTTAAGATCGATGAAGCTACTGGGAATTCAGACCAATAAGACTATTGAATTGAGTCTGATGAGGAAGGGTAGATCTAGAAGAGGAAATCTGATAGAATTATGACCTGTTGACTTAAACTGTTATTCTCCACTCCTTGATCAAGCTAATGGTGTTATTTGTGTTTATTCCTTCGCAGATTTCCGATAGAAAAGAGCATCATAAGGGCGCGACTTTCATGTTTTTGTAAAATTTAAAGACTAAACCAAACTGCTCGGTATCTATTGAACTGAGCTCCAAAAAATCCTGAAATCTGGAAATTCGATAGTTCTCATGCATACTTTTATGTTTATCTTCTTCAATCCTATTTAGTTGGTATTGTAAACTCTCCAAATACATGACTAAGAGCTTTTAGTTATGAAAGAAAGTAGAGAAACAAAGCTATATGGCAATAGAAATTATTATGCCTCGAAAACAAGATGAAAATACAAAAATTAGAAAGAAATGATGTTAACTATTGTGAGTACTCCAAAGTTTTTTAATTAACCTAAAGATGATGCATTAATTTATTCAACGGGTATGTTACAGAAATATCGAACACACACAGATAAGTTCAATGCAAAATTTTGTCTCTATATTTTTCGCAGCTTTATGTGAACTCCCTTTTGGGGTTGAAGAGTCACCACAAATGAGGGAGCGTGAGTGTAAGATGGTGAAAGCTCAAAAGAAAAGCGTCGAAGGATCATAACCAGGGCGATTTTCGCTTCCATAAGTGAGAAATTGCTTCCAATGCACATCCGGGGACCCCAACTGAAAGGGAAAAAAGAGAGCTGATTATTCGTTGCCTTCGCGATTCCTTGAGAAAATCTCTCTGGCTTGAATTCTTTTACATCTTCCCCCCAAAGTTGTCGATCGTGATGAACTAAGATTATTGGCAACAGAAATTGCAATCCAGAGGGCAGAGTCATTTCTCCTAATTTTGTCTCTTCATTTATGGTTCTTGTAAATATGATCGCAGGTGGATATAATCTTAGAACCTCGTACAAAATCATCGTTACCTGCAAAATTGATGGGTTAAAGTACTCTACAATTATTTCTTTTACCTTGAAAAAAGAAACAAATGTGTTTTTTGTCTTGTATAACTGAAATGAATCATCGTATTATTCAATAGGTAACTGAAGTACTAAAGAAGTTTCTCACATTTTAAAATAAGTTATCGATAAGGTGGTTTAATATAATATCAAAGACGACAGGATCCTCAATTCAAGTGAACGTGACCTTTATGTAAAATTGAAAATGTGGCATGCGAAGTGGTTCAACTGAAGCTTGTCCACAGAAAGTGAAATGGTTCAACTTAAGCTTGTCCACTGTATTCTAACTATGCATTCTAAAACTATCCATGAATTTCACGATAATTTCACTTCCAAATATTTTCCCTCTTTCTTGTGGTTAATAATTGGACTAGGAAAAATAGATATATAAGTAGCAAGAAACCAAGAATGCAGATTGAATATATTAATACTAACGGTTTTTAGTCGATTTAGGCCATCAAAATCTGGTACTTTGTTTCCAAAAGCTTGCCGAATCTCTTCCCTTGCACGAATTTGCCAACTCGGGTGCATGCTCAATAGAAGCATTGTCCATGACAACAAATTTGATGTGCTTTCTTGCCCAGCAAAGTAGAATGCTTTACATTCCTCAATCACTTCATCGATTCTCATTCCTAAATTGTTATTTCCATGTTTTTTAATTTCTTCTAGATTTGATTTCAACAGAATACCTAATAAATCGTTTTCTGCACTATCAATTCCTGCTTTGATGGCCTTCAGTTTTCCATTTATGATATTCTTTAGAAAACTGCACAGCTGATAGTTAATCTCTTTCATTCTCCTGTTTCTTTTTGTTGGCAAAATCCTGTATATATAATATGTTAAGAGGTTTAAAAAACAAGGATAAAGAAATGTTCTGGTTCCAAAATTGATGAAGTCATAAGAACGAGAGCGCTTCATGTATTTAAATATTTTTATTTTCAACACGCTTCTGCCTAAAACCTTGTTTGACACTGATTTATTCAAGAGAAAATGAATTTCTTTTAGAATGTGCGGTTAAAAAGTGAAAAAAAGTTGTGCGTTGCGTTGAACTTGTGGTTGAAAATAATATTAGGGAAAGTGATTTTATAAAAATCTTTGATAAACAAGCCTTGAGTATGTCAAAATATGCCTTGTGCAACCTTGAGTGTCCAAATGTGCAAGATTATTTCCCATTTACAAGAAGTTTACCTCCATCCGGGAATGTATACTGATTGCAAAACTTGCCGCGTAAGTTCTGCTTGTTCTTTTTGAAGTCGGAAAATCATCTTTCCTTGTGCATAACTACTCCCAAAAGCCGTTCTCGATATCACATCGCAGGTTAAATCCTCTAAATAGGGCTGCACATCAATCTCAATTGTAATCTTTTCTGATGCCAACATCTCCCACTTGTTAATCATCTCAATGCAACTTGTATGCATAGCGGGAATCATATGCTGCAAAAACCACAGTCAAAAGTATATTTTTCGAACTTCATTGAGATCAGAGAGATTGTTGATTTTTTTCTTCAAAGTACAGTTTACCCTCAATTTTTCTATGTAGAAAGCAGGATCGACCATTTTTCTGTGCTTAGCCCACTTCTCATCTTCATAGCCAGCAAATCCACATATCAAAAATTTGGCCAGTGGGTTTGGGGTTGGCTTTTTGAAAGTGGTGTTGTTGGTCAAGACTTCTTTTATCAGTTCAGGTTCCATCATATAAACCCTAGGAGTTGGACCGATCCATGAGAAAGAATTCTTACCTACACGATTTGGCTATTATCAGCGTCTTTGCACGATTATGTAATATAAGGTTATTTCGAATAATGGGTGTCGAACTACTTCACAGATAGTCATATTTTTATCGAATTGCATTGGTGCATAAACTTCACAAAAAAGGAGCAAAACTTAAACTTCGAACGCGATATGTGAGAACTGATATCATGTCGAGCTATTTCACGTGAAAGCTTAAAACTATTAAATGTGAGACAAATATATTTATTTAAATTATGTTTAAAGATGCTTGGCTGTTAGCTTATTATAGCATTTCTTTTAACATAATGATGTATCTATATGATTAATTTGGAAGAATGTAGCTTTGGATTTCAGAATACATTACATGGAATTGCTTTGGAGCAAGGACACACTAGCAAAACCCATTGAAAAATAAAATATAGTCATAGGTTGTCAAAATATAATTTATCCTCCTAAGTTTTCCCAACTCCTAGGCTGTCTTCTCCTTTGGTTTAAAAACCTAGACTTTAACAATTACAGCATTAAAAACAGAGGATGGTCTCGATCATAAGCATATATATAATGCAGAACAATGACCGGTAATTGGCATGTTTGGGATGACAAATCTTAAAAATAAGCTCCAAATATGTGATTTATGTTAACTTATTTTGAGTATAGGTATATCGAATTAAACATAAGTCATACATTTGTTGCTTATTGTTAACATGAGTCACTCCAAACATGATCCATACATTTAAAGATTAAAATTAAAATTTTATGATTGAAAAAACTGATCACAATTATTAAAGACAATAAAGATTGTGAAATTTTACATTGTACTATAATTCATGAGAATTTCTATTATTTGAGCTTCATTTTAAAATGTGTTGTTTTGGATTAATTCTTAAATTTTCTATTTCATGATCAGGTTTTCATTCCAAACCTTTGTACTAGATGTGCATAAAGTCAAATTAAGATAACAATTTTAGTGCAAGTTACTTACTAAAAAGTAACTCCTACTATACTGTTAAAACAAATCACTTTATTTTTAGTAACAATATGTAAGAGAAAACTAAAATAATGTGTACTTACTTTTATGCTTAACATAGGCAACCAAGAAAGTAACATACCATACTTGTTGATAATATGATGGTGGAATGGGAGGGCACGGGGAATGATATCATCCGATAGGTTGATGGGTTTAGAATTCGCTTGTTTGATCATGGCTGCCATCTCCTTGCTATCCCCATGAATCGGACGGTAAGGATTTCCACTGAAGCCTTGCGCCCTAAGGTATTTTTCTATCTTTCTTGGTCTAAACCATAACCAATTCGCTATTCTCCATCCCAATATCAGAGATACTGAAATCAGGAAGAAAAAGATTAACGTTGCAATATTCATACTTGCTTTCTAGAGAGAAGAAAGAGATGTTACTGAAAAACAGGCACAAGGAGATGGAGACTAGCTAGAGATCAATTCTTAACAATGATAATGGCATATTCTGAGGGTAGTTTTAACCAAGTAGCAGTTGAGTTTTTCCCAGTCACGTGTGGATCTATACTGTCATTGTGGGAATCACGTTACCATATGGACCACTTGATTTGTAAATTGAAGTTTTTTAAACAACTGTGCATAATTAAGGAGAAAGAACCAAAATTTTAACGCAACCCCAGAGAAAGATGTCCTTTAGCTAGGTTTCTAGCTGGAAAATTGAGGAGGATATATAACTAATAAGAGAAGAACATGTTGTTTATATTTGTTAATTAAGAGAAAAGTTACAATTTACAAATCAAGCCAATTCAAGTCGAATGTTATTCTGTCCAAGTAGAATTATTGTTAAATCAAGCCCTCATGGTACAGAGCATTAATGCAGATGACTCTTAAGCTGTCCTCCTCAATTAACACACACACACACACACACACACATTTATATATATTACCAAAAACATAAGCATAGTCGTACTGGGTTCTCAGGCTCCACCAGGTGATACTGATGATTCCCTAACCATATATAAAAATATCCACATGTACAAAGGGAAGGGAGCATAAATCTAACCTTCCAAAAGCAATGAGATGCAGCATTAGAGTATAAGTAAAAATAGGGGAAGTGCTACTTTCCATACAAGTCAAGCAAGTGAAAATCAAACTAATGCTCTCTAATATTAGGAAGACCAAATCTATAAATCTGAACAAGAGCTCGAAGTTCACGTGGAAGGTCAAGGGGACCATACTTCTGGTAATGACTCAAATCCCAACCTAAAGATGCAAGTGAATCGGCAATCTGAAATCGGAAGAAACTTACAATATTAACCAATCAAAAAGGACTAGGAGTTTAAGCTTCTATATCAGTGGATGGTGCCCTTCAATTTTTAACTCAGCTAATGCATTTGGTTTCTATCATATGCCTCATTTTGCATAACAAACAGATAAACTTCGTGTTCATATTTTTCCTTCCACCAAAAAAAGGCATCAGATCATGTGCACGCATATCGTTACATTTAAATCGAGAAGACAAGAAACGAATGAAAAAATGAAATTAAAGAAAAAGACACACAGCTTATGATCATGATTATATTCCTTTTCAAGAAGAACAAGAATTTTTTTATTTGTTTTATTACATGTATTGTACTGTGACGGATAAAATATTGCAGGTTTCCCCACAACTCCTTAAAAGTTTAATGTCCTCTATAATGCATTGATCTTCCATTATTGCAGTTAAATTACTTGTTCTGAGAATCTGATTCAGTCAATATATTAACTCAGGCATCATGTTAGGGCTATATTCACTAGGATCGGGACCATGCTAACTTTTGTAAATGGCATATGATGATACAAACAAAGCAAAATATCTACCATAAATAGTATTTTTTTTCTTAACATTTGATATATATACAAATTCACAGACTAAAATAAGTTTTTTTTTTTATTTCTTTTTATTTTTTTATCTCATTATTAGTGATCAAATAAAGATCATGAGAAAGATTATTAATTTTCATTACAATCTTACTAATCTATTAGATGCTATGGAAACAGCAGAGAACAAACTTATATATAATTAAATAAATATTTTTATATTCAAAATAATAATAATAATAATTGACATTCCTTTTCACTCTTCAATAGAAATATTCATTTGGAAATTCTTCACATTCTATGTGATTACTCCCGTGATACTATTATTGTGATACATTCTTTTCTTTGATAAATAATTTAACTGGTAAATAGAGTCATTTCTTTGTAATTATCGAAAGACAAGCTTTTAAATTTCAAGGATCTAAGCAAGTAAAATGTTGGTTGACATTCTTATTATTCAGTCCAATGCAAAAAAAAATTATTCATTCCATTGAGGAATTTTTAATGTGTTTATAAGATGCTACGGAAACAGCAGAGAATAGACTATCTATAATTCATATAAATATTTATATCTTCACAAAAAATAAATAATCGATATCTCTTTTATCTCTTTAATAGAAAGATTCATGTGAACTAACAGAAGAAATTCCCCAGCTCAGCACCGTTTATCCAGCTGTAAACAAATTAGTTAGGAAGTTAGTTAGTTAGTGATAGTTAGCCACGTGTAATCACTGCATTAGTTGCATGGTTAGATAGTTGCATGGTTAGATAGTTAGTTAGTTGGTAATCATTGTATTTATACTCACGGTGTGTAATTCATTTGTTTCAATGAAAGTTTTCTTTCTTCCATTTCAATATGGTATCAGAGCAATAGATTGCTTCCCTTTCTTCATCGCAATTATCTGCAATTTTTTCAAATGGCAGAATTTGTGAATCAAAATCAATCGCTCAATTCCTCTTCATCTTCGATGAGCAATTCCGCCATTGAAGATGGATCGAGCCCCTATTTTCTACATCATTCTGATAGCCCAGGCCTAGTTCTCGTCTCACAGCCTTTGATAGGAGAGAATTATACTTCCTGGAGCCGTGCGATGACCATTGCTTTGTCTGTGAAAAACAAGATCGGTTTTATCAATGGATCAATTTCAAAACCTGAAGCCAATGATGATTTGCTAAATGCCTGGATCCGAAACAATAACATGGTGATTTCGTGGATTCTCAACTCAGTTTCTAAAGAGATTTCAGCTAGTATTATCTATGCTGAATCTGCACAAGAGATCTAGGTTGATCTCAAGGAAAGATACCAACAAAAGAATGCCCCTCGCATATTCCAGTTAAGGCGGGAACTGATGAATCATATCCAAGGTCAATCTTCTGTAAGCGTGTATTTCACAAAATTGAAAACTATTTGGGAGGAGCTTAGTAATCACAGACCACTATGCACCTGTGGGAAATGCAATTGTGGAGGATCAAAGAAGCTGGCAGATTACTATCACATGGAATACGTTATGTGCTTCTTGATGGGGCTAAATGATTCCTTTGCTCAGGTGCGTGGCCAAATACTGATGATGGATCCTATTCCATCCATAAATAAA